ATCCACACACAACGCTCACCTCTGCTGCCTAAGTGACGTAGGAGACAGATTTAATGTGACATGACCGTTCAGACTGCAGTCACTTTCAAAAACATCAGATATGTGTCGGAATTAGTACTACATATTCAAGTGACATGGATCGCATTTAAAAACAATCGGATCTGTGCTTTCAGACTGTCATAAAAAATCAGATATGGCTCGCATGTGGGCAAGAAAAGCAGATTTGATGCACTTTTGCCTGCAGTGTGAACATAGCCTAATTTTTCAAGAATTTCTAGATGTGTGATTTGGGAAAGGTTTACTTGGAGATAAAGCTTCTTTCTGGAGTATTTCTCTTATCTGATGGCACCATCTAGTGGCTGACAAGCATATCTCACACTGCCCGTTTTTTGAAGATGTTTTCATGTTTCTGTTTATAAATGTTCTTCTGTAGCCGACAAACGGAGCTAAAACACGTTGTTTTATGAGTATTATTCTCATGTCATGTTGTGCTCTCATATATTTGTATTTTAGAGACTTACTTGTCCGTGAAAAGTTCATCAACTCTGCATCAGCTGAGGTATTCCTTAAATTTGAAGCAAGTAAGCGGTAGTCTAACGCTATTGGTTATTTCTGGTCGGCGCCCAGTTTCCTACTGCACGGAGCTCTGCGGGGCAGGGGGCGTGCGTAGCAACAAAAAAAGGACTAATTGCTTACATTTTATCACAGTACATGATGAGATAATCACTTTTACGGATTTCTGACAAATCATACATAATTTCTGAAAGGGCAAAACTCTGGAAAGCTGTTTAAGTGCTTGCCCTGTAATCGGAAGGTTGCAGGTTCGAGCCCCACTCAGTTTGTTGTTGTTGTTGTGTCCTTGGGCAAGACACTGAACCCCCCTTGCCTGCTGGTGGTGGTCAGAGGAACCGGAGGCACCAGTGCTCAACAGGCCTCACCGCTGTCAGTGCACCCAAGGGCAGCTGTAGCTACATCGTAGCTCATCCCCACCAGCATATGAATGCATGTGTGAATAGGTGATTGTGTTGTGAAGCGCCTTGGAGGGGGGTTCCTCGAAGGCACTATAGCAAATACAGGCCATTTACCAATAAAGCTGTGGTTACATTTTTTTTAAACTGAGTGCAAACTGTTACACTAATATTACTGGTTAAATTTTAACAGTTTTTTTTACAGTGCAGAGTTACTAGCTGATTACCAATATGTTCATAATTTAAAATCTTGTCTAGATATTGTGCTTGGACCTAAAGACTAAAGCCTTGGGTTATGTGTGTCAACTCAGGAGGTGTATGAGGCGTTAGAAAAGCAGAAGCATCTGATGAAGTGTGTGCTGGAGGACCCTTGTCTGAACAGGCTGCGTCTGGAGGGAGGAACACAACTCGCTCGAATCAGGAAGGAGGAGACAATTAAGAATGAAAACTGCAGGTACATCTGAAGAGCAATACATAACCTATTATGATTAATATTTGGACTCAACTTAAGTTTGGACTTTTCAGGGACACCATCGACATGCTGAACAGTCTGTACAACCAGGTTGATGAAGAGGTTCACAAACTCGTGATCTTATCCAACAAGTCACAGAAACAGTTAGAAATGCTGCAGGAGGTGCTTACATTTGAGGAGCAAACACAGCAGGTGGCAAATTCACATCCTGGTTCAGCCTCTAATATAATACCAACCTAACCAACTCCTTTTCCTTCCAGATAAAACACTGGTTTAGTGTGGCAGCAGAGAAGCAGCTCATACCTCTGGAAACAAAGAGTCTGTCTTTGAGCAAAATTAAGGAGATGAAAGAGAACTTGGACCAGTTTCTGGAGGAGTCAATGGTAAAGAATTCTGCAAAAATATTTCCACATCAGGTTTGACTTTACGTGCAAATTTTTAAAAAGACTGTTTGTGTTCATCTTTCTGACAGCACCAGCAGAGACTTGGTCTACAACTGATGAAAGAGTCTTCAGAGTGCCTCCCAGGTTGTGCTCTACTGGATTTCAAACAACATCTGAGTTTCATTCTAAGCAGTGTGGAGGAGAGGAAGGCTAAGCTGGAGATCCTGACAAATCTGTATGAATTCTATGATTCTGTAAGTATCAGGCAGGGTTCTGTGAGGCATCCTGGAAAACTTATTTGCATTTGTTATGTTAGAGAAATCTAACAGATTTTATTGTGTCTGTCATGGAAGGAAAATGCCATAATTCTATTTCGAGTAACACTAACAGAAATCAGGTATTTATGGTTTCAGTACGTTATTATCTAACTTGGTTTAGATAAATATTAGCTTCTTTCACAAAACAGCAATTCAAACAAGTTAGGAGGGACTCTCTCAAGGCGGTTCACAGACTACACACATCACTAGAGCTGCTAAATTTCCTTTCATTTATTTTAAATGCTTAAAGTTACAACACTTCAAATACTGGATAAAAACATTTAAAAACATAAAGTTCAAACAAAAAGATTTGTAAATTAAAACAGAAGGCGTTCAAAAAGGGAGGAGGAAGAACCAATGGTTTATCCAGTCCTGTCCCAGTAACCCATTACATGTTCTAAGCTGCATTGAATAGTCGTTTTTAAAAATTAATATCAATACACAAGCATGCCTACACCATTTTAACATTTATATCTGTACAAGTGTGCATGCATGTGCATACCTTCACAACTGTCAGTGTACAGTTACAAAAAATCTGCAGCACATCTGGGCCATCGGCTGACCATGATCTCAACATATCAGCGTCGGGGTCAGCAATAGAAAACAATGTCGGTCAACCTCTAATACACAGCATCCCTGAAGTCATGAATGTATGAGTATGGTAAGTTCAAAAAGTCTCTCACATCTTCAGGCGAGCCAGTGGACGGAGCACTGTCAGAAATACTTCCGTCAGCTGAGTCTGGACAGCTCAGATGAAATAACTTCAACCACCGCAGATCAGATTCTGCAGCATTGCTGCACTGAGGCATCTAAGTTCTCCATGGACAACTTCAGTACGCTCAAAAACACGGTCCTTTCACTGGAAAGTCCTCAGGAGCTGCAGCAGTGGAATTCTGTTTGGCACAAATGCCAGCAGACCAAACAGCAGCTGGAGGAAATTGTAGCTCGAGCTGAAGTGGATGCTTTGAACACCGCAGAGAGTTGGATTGTTATCCCAGAACATTGTGGAGGTAATCGGTGCATACCTGGGGCCATCACACCTCTGACTTTTGAAGAAAGTCTAGTTCAGTCTAGTTCAGCATCATTGCAATTTCCCTTCTCTCCTGATGGTGAAAACAAACTGGGACAGAGCTCGTCCACATATGATGACACGGACAGCAACTGCACCATTGACTCAGCTCTCTCCTGTCATTTGGAGCCCATCTACTCCAAAACTATGCGACTCCACAAGCAGCCAATGAAAAAGATCATGAAGAAGACTATGAGCGTCGAGCTGGTCCCAAGGGGCAGTAGCCACTCAGATGTCAGCTACATTCATGGCTACGAAGGGGCCCACATCAAAGGTCTGGAGGTGGCCAGTAATGTGTCTGCAGAGAAGAAGCTGCAAAGGGCCGATGGGATGAGTTCAGCATTGGGACGCAGCCGCAGCATGCCCCCACCTTCCAGGACATATAACAGACGGAGCGATGGAGATGGTACAAAACAGAGCAGGTGAGGACATCATCAGCTGTGCTCTTGGGACTATGCAAGTCTGTAAATATAATCAGTCTCACTCCTTGTTCACTTTTCGTTTTCCCCAGTAAAGTTCAGCACATCATGGATGAAATGATTTCCACTGAGAGGGAGTATGTTCGCTCTCTCAGCTACGTCATCAAGCACTACCTCCCAGAGATGGAGCGCCTGGACTTGCCTCAAGACCTACGTGGGAAGCAGAGCATCATTTATGGGAATATGGAGAAGCTGTGGGACTTTCACAGCCAGTTCTTCCTGAAGGAGCTGGAGGCGAGCGCTGACTCACCACTGTCCATCAGCAGCTGTTTTCTGCAACATGTGAGTCCCTGACCTGAAAAAGTGCTCTGACACAGGACTCAAAAAAGTTAACCATTTATTTTTATTTTGTTCTGTTTTCATTCAGATTCATGCAAAAATGCATATAACAAAATCAGTTTTAAAGCTCTGATTCACTGAAAAAACATTTCTAATTATTATTTTAGATTTTAATTGGTCACTCTGAGTTTTTCATGCAGGCTGAATGAAATCAAATTCACTATATTTATCCATTAGGACTTTCATTTGCAGATAAATGTCAGCACAGTCCATAAAGCACTATCAAGGCACACACACACACACATACACACACACACACACACACAATCAATTTAAAAGGAATTTAAAAATAAATTAAACGGATTAAAAGGAATACTAAAATGCCCACAGCTTTGTTCATTTTCATATTAGAACCGCCAAATTTGACTTAAAATGACTAAGCAATCTTCCAAACTGCTTTTTTGGCCCGAGCAGCGAAAGCGCTACGAAGGCCTCTTGTTTTTGCTCTGATTATTATTATTCTTTCATTTTTTGTTATTCCGTGCCCCCTTTGAACGGCTTTTTGGGGACCTTATCATACCCCAAAACTCACAATATTTTGCGAACTTGTCAGACCTGGTGAAAAATTTGATATTTTAAAGGTCCCAAAAAAATCGCAAAGAAAATGGCTGAACAGCGCCCCCTAGAAGGTGAAAAATACCCCTCTCCATAAAGCTTAGTTTATCGTACAGTTATGAAATTTGGTACACTTGTAGTACTCAACCATAGTCAATATCAAACAGGAAGTCGGCCATTTTGGGTTGAAATGGCGATTTATTGTCATTTTTGCCGTTTTTAGGGTCCGTTTCTGATTGGATTGCTCCATCATTTTTCACACGATCGTCTCAAAAATTGTGTAAAATTGCTCAGAAGGGATGCGCAAACAAAATGAGACAAGGATTCTGAGTTTTCGTATATGATGAAGGGGCGGGGCCAGGCCTCGAAGTTTGACTACTCGCCAAAAAAATTTAAATTGCTATAACTTCATAACTGAATGGAATAGAGTTACCAAACTTTCTGTGGTCATTCATCATTCACCCACAAAGTAAATTGAAGCGTCGATTGATGACATCACACAAGCCCCGCCCCCTCAGGACCAAAAAGGTCAAGTTTTACTGTGAAAGGTCCCAAATTGCACCATTTCACTTAATCACCACAAATTTGTAGCTGGTGACTCAAGACAAGTGGGGGTTGCTTGGCGTCACTTTATGGGAGTTTTCGGCAGAGGGCGGGGCTGTGGCGGCGCGGCGAAGTCAGGCGTACCGCCGTGGCCTTACATTTGTCTCCCATTTTGTCATTTCTAAAGATATCGTCACAAAACTTCTTGTGAGGGATCCTAGTCCGGCCCCCCAAAGAATCTGATGTGAACATCTGGTGGGCGTGGCCTATTTTCTGAAATAGCGCCCCCTTGGACCATTAAAACTGTCAGCCCCAAGCCATGCTTTGACTGAGGATTACGAAATTTGGTACACTAATGTGGTGTCTCAGGACCTACAAAAAAGTCTCTTGGAGCCAAGTGCAAAGTCGCACAGGAAGTCGGCCATTTTGGTCCAAGTACGCGATTCAGTGGTTTTCGCACACGTTGTTTGGAGAGTGATGTTCCGTCGTCCTTTTCACCAATCTCCTTCAAACTTGTGCTATATACTCTTAAGACATAGGGGAAAAAATTCAACTGTCGGATTTTTCAAAAGTTGAAAGGTGTGGGCGTGGCTAAGCCTCAAACTTTGACCTGTCGCCATGCCACTCTTTTTTTCACAGCTCCCTACTGGACTCCTTTTACCTAATCAGCAAGAATCTCTGACAAATAGCAGTAGACAACGTGAGGTCACTTGGTATCCAGTACTGGCAGGTTTCAAAAAAAGGCGGGGCTTTGGGAGCATGGCGAAAATCGCCATCACGCCATAGAAATACGTTTGCCTCTCATTTGTTCAGTTATCGTGATATCGCTACGAAACCTCTGGTGAGTGATCCTAATCTGACCCCTAAGAGACATAGATAGCTGAAATGTGTGGGCGTGGCCTATTTTCTGAAATAGCGCACCCTAGGACCATTTAAACTAATAGCCCCAAGCCATGCTTTGACTGAGGATCACGAAATTTGGTACACTTATGTGGTGTCTCAGGACCTTCAAAAAAGTATCTTGGAGCCAAGCGCAAAGTCTTACAGGAAGTCGGCCATTTTGGTCCAAGTACGCGATTTAGTGGTTTTCACACACGTTGTTTGGAGAGTGATGCTCCGTCGCCCTTTTCACCAATCTCCTTCAAACTTGTGCTACATACTCTTAAGACATAGGGGGGAAAATTCAACCGTTGAAAGGTGTGGGCGTGGTTAAGCCTCAACATTTGACCTGTCGCCACACCACTATTTTTCACAGCTCCCTACTGGACTCCTTTTACCCAATCACCAGGAATCTCTGGCAAATAGCAGTAGACAACTTGAGGTCACTTGGTATCCAGTACTGGCAGGTTTCGAAAAAAGGCGGGGCTTTGGGAGCATGGCGAAAATCGCCATCACTCCATGGAAATACGTTTGCCTCTCATTTCTTCAGTTTTCGTGATATCGCTACAAAACTTCTGGTGAGTGATCCTAGTCTGACCCCCAAGAGAAATAGATAGAGGAAGTTTGTAGGCGTGGCCTATTTTCTTAAATGGCGTCCGCTAGAGCCATTAAAACTGTCAGCCCCAAGCCATGCTTTGACTGAGGATTACGAAATATGGTACACTAATGTGTTGTCTCAAGACCTACAAAAAAGTCTCTTGGAGCCAAGCGCAAAGACACACAGGAAGTCGGCCATTTTGGTCCAAGTACTCAATTTGGTGGTTTTCTAACACGTTGCTTGGAGAATGATGCCCCGTTGTCCTTTTCACCAATCACCTTCAAACTTCTGCTATATACTCTTAAGACATAGGGGAAAAAATTCAACCATCGGATTTTTCAAAAGTTGAAAGGTGTGGGTGTGGCTAAGCCTCAAACTTTGACCTTTCGCCATTACATCATTTGACTTATTAACTCCCATGTGCATGATCAGATCCATATCAAACTTTGTCTGTGTGATCATTGACCACATTTCAAGACAATGACAATGTGGACAGCTGACATTTTCTAAGCCCCACCCCCTGACTGCAGGAAGTCTATTGTTTTATGGTGAAATGCCCATATTTGTCCCCTCTAATTTAGTCAAAATGACACTAAGGTCATGCACTGTGTTCATGATGCTGTAATAACCATTCAGATTTGATAGCTTTCCAGATAGGGAGGGGCTTTGATGCCATGGCGAAACATGGCGTGACGTCGTGACCTTACGTTTGACTGTAACTTCCACAAACAGCCTCTGATCTGCCCGAGACTGAACATGGCAATGAACAATCATGCCCTTTAGCCAATGAGGCCCAAACGGTTGGTGAATGTTATATAATGTCACCAAAGCTGACCTCAATGGGACTTTTCTGTAGTTGGTCACAGCGCCCCCTAGATAATGTTATCCTTCGATAACTTTAAAAAACATGGTCAGAATATCATTAAAGTTGGTCACTGTCATCACACCACCAGTGTGGTAAAGATAGAGGATTCCCTAGTGGTGAGACATAAAATATAATGGTGGGCTCAAAGGGGATGCTGAGTCAGGGTGAGGTGCGGACAAGGTGACCGTTAGCAGTTTCTGGTGTCGGGGTGGTCGGCGTTTCTGTTTCGCAGATGTAGCCTGGTGCCCCGGGCTGCCGGCCAGGCCGGAGCGGCGCGGAGCTGCGAGGGCCGAACGACGCTGCTTGCAGCTTTAATTCATTTTATTCTTCATCATTGCTTATTCTGTGACTTAAAAAATATATAAAGAAAAAAATATTTAAGATTTCATTTTCAAATAACACTCCAACAAATGTGTAGCAAAATTCTATTAGAAACATCAAATTTGAAAATGAAAATGCAGAAATGCATTTTCATTTTACAACTGCTAAGTGTGACTCACAATTTAAAAGAAAAAGCAATCCTCTAAACTGCTTTTTAATTTTGTTCTTCATCACTGCCTATTCTCAATCAATCAATCAATCAATCAACTTTATTGTCACTTCAGCCATATACGGTTTGTATACAGTGAGGCGAAACAACGTTCCTCCAGGACCAAGGTGCTACATGCAACATAAATTTACAACATGAAAAAATATAAGAAAAATAAACAATCTAATTAAGGACAGAACATGAGTGTGTTCGCGTGTTTGTGTGCGTGCGTGCGTGTGTGTGTGTGAGTGTATGTGCATGCATGCGTTTATCAGTCCAGTCCCTTTTCGTTGAGGAGACGAATGGCCTGTGGGAAGAAGCTGTTGCACAGTCTGGATGTGAGTGCTCGAATGCTTCGGTACCTTCTTCCAGATGGCAGGAGTGTGAAGAGTGTGTGAGAGGGGTGTGACCAGTCAGCCACAATGCTGGTGGCTTTGCGGATGCAGCGTGTGGTGTAGATGTCCTTGATTGAGGGGAGGGAGACTCCTATGATCTTCTCTGCTGTTTTCACTATCCGCTGTAGGGTTTTGCGGTCAGAGATTGCACAGTTCCCAAACCAGGCAGTGATACAGCAGCTCAGGATGCTCTCAATAGTTCCTCTGTAGAAGGTGGTTAGCATCGTTGGTGGAAGCTGGGCCTTTCTCAGTCTTCTCAGAAAGAAGAGACGCTGTTGGGATTTCTTGTACAGGAAGCTGGTGTTGAGGGACCAGGTGAGGTCTTTGTCCAGGTGAACTCCCAGGAATTTGATGTTGTTGACGATCTCCACAGAGGAGCCGTTGATGCTCAGTGGTGAGTGGTCACTCCGTATCCTCCTGAAGTCAACAACCATCTCTTTTGTCTTGTCAACATTCAGAGACAGGTTGTTGACCTTACACCAGTTTGTTAACCTCTGCACTTCATCTCTGTATGCTGACTCGTCGTTCTTGCTGATGAGACCCACCAAGGTTGTGTCATCAGCGAACTTAATGATGTAATTTGAACTGTGTGTTGCTACACAGTCATGAGTCAGCAGTGTGAACAGCAGAGGACTGTTTACACAGCCTTGTGGGGCCCCCGTGCTTAGTGTGGTGGTGCTGGAGGTGCAGTTCCCGATCCGTACTGACTGAGGCCTTCCAGTCAGAAAGTCCAGGATCCAGTTGCAGAGGGAGGTGTTCAGGCCCAACATGCTCAGTTTTCCGATCAGTTGCTGGGGGATGATCGTGTTGAATGCTGAGCTGAAATCTATGTACAGCATTCGAACATGTGTGTCCTTCTTGTCCAGGTGTGTGAGGGCAAGATGGAGTGCAGTGGAAATGGCGTCATCTGTTGAGCGGTTATGGCGGTATGCAAATTGCAGTGGGTCCAGTGAGGGGGGCAACAGGGTCTTGATGTCTGTCATGACTAGCCGCTCGAAGCACTTCATGATGGTGGGTGTAAGTGCAACAGGACGGTAGTTGTTGAGACAGGACACAGAAGATTTCTTGGGCACTGGGACGATGGTGGCGGCCTTAAAGCACGTGGGAACAACGGCACTGCTCAGAGAGATGTTGAAGATGTCGGTGAGAACATCCGCCAGCTGTTCAGCACATTCCTTTAGCACTCTGCCCGGGATGTTGTCTGGACCAGCAGCTTTACGTGGATTGACTCTGCGTAGAGTTTTTCTCACCTCTGCTGTAGTGAGACACAACACCTGGTCGTCCGGAGGAGGGATTGACTTCCTTGCTGCCACGTCGTTCTGCCTGTCGAACCGAGCGTAGAAGTTGTTCAGCGCATCAGGGAGGGAGCCGTCACCATCACAGGCAGGTGTTGTCGTCCTGTAGTTGGTGATGGCTTGTAGGCCCTGCCACATTCGCCGTGTGTCGCCGCTGTCCATGAAGTGCTTGTGGATCCTCTGGGCGTGTGCGCGCTTCGCCTCTCTAATGGCCCGAGATAGTTCATTTCTAGCTCTGCTAAGCGCCACCTTATCTCCCGCTTTGAAGGCAGAGTCTCTGGTTCTCAAAAGTGTGCGCACTTCCGCAGTAATCCACGGTTTCTGGTTGGGTCGTGAGATGATGGTCTTGGAGACAGTGACGTCATCGATGCATTTGCTGATGTAGCTCGACACCGATGACGTGTACTCCTCCAAGTCAGTAGAGTCGCCGTAAGTTGCAGCCTCCCTAAACATGTTCCAGTCAGTGCACTCAAAACAGTCTTGAAGAGCAGAGGTGGCTCCTGCCGGCCAGGTTTTCGCCTTCCTCAGAACCGGTTTTGCTCGCTTGACGAGTGGTCTGTATGCTGGAATTAGCATGACAGAGATGTGGTCTGAGTAGCCAAGGTGGGGGCGGGGCTCTGCCCGATATGCGCCGGGGATGTTTGTGTAAACCAAATCCAGCGTGTTTACCCCTCTCGTTGCAAAGTCCACATACTGATGGAATCTAGGAAGCACTGATTTGAGATTTGCATGGTTGAAATCTCCAGCAACAATGAACAGTCCATCTGGGTGTGTGTTTTGCAGTTCGCTGATGTTTGTGTACAGTTCTCCTAACGCTTCCTTAGTGTTAGCGCCAGGTGGAATGTACACTCCGATAATGAAAACAGTGGTGAATTCCCGTGGTAAATAAAATGGTCTGCATCTGACAGTCACAAACTCCACCAGCGGTGAGCAATAGCGAGAAGCTAGCAGAGCGTTCTTGCACCATTTCTCGTTGACGTAAACACTCAGGCCGCCACCGCGAGTCTTGCCGCACAGAGCTACGTTTCTGTCGGCTCGAAACGAGGCCATCCCGTCCAGCTGAATAGCGGCGTCCGGTACTCTGTCGCTGAGCCATGTCTCCGTGAAAATATAGACACAGCAGTCTCTGGCCTCACGCTGCGTAGCCTGCTGGAGTCGGATGTAGTCCAGTTTATTATCCAGGGAGCAGACATTGGACAAGATGATGGACGGGAGAGCCGGCCGGCTAGGGTTTGTTTTTAGCCTGTGACACATTCCCGCCCGCTTGCCGCGCTTACGCTTCCTCGCGCATCGCTTCCGATGTCCCCTCCTCCGGACGCCAGCATCAGGCAGCGATGAGGCATCGATGAGGCATCGAGGCCTGGTGCGCGGAGGCCTGGAGGCCTGGAGGCCTGGTGCACGGAGGCCTGGTGCGCGGAGGCCTGGTGCGCGGAGCAAGCCGAGTTCTCGTAGCGTTTCCCGCAGCTCCTCTTGGATATCGTTGTCCGGGTTTTGAAGGTAGCAAAGTGTCTGGCTGCTGTATGTACAGGCACCAGTACTGACGATATCCATAGTAAAAAATAAGAAAAATAAGATAAGATAAAAAAATAATAATAAAAAAACTGTGACTTAATGAAAAGGATAGAGAAAGGGAAACTGCTTTTTCTTTTTCATGCTCGCCCTTCATAAAGCGTTTCATAGTTCAAACTGAGTTGGCTATCCCGAGCGGCCGGGAGAGTGACGTCAGTGTCCGCCTCGCTCTTCTGAACCCAGTCTGACCTCATCGCACTTTGCATTTAGTACACTAGGGGGCGGTGTATACATAGACACAAAGAAAAGGCCCTGCGTTGGCTGTGTGAGAACCGGAAATGCAGCCGCGATCTAGGACTGGTTCCCTTGGACTGTAATGGAAGGTAATCCCCATAGACCTAGCCCTTAAGTTTGATGTGCAAATAAACATGGCTGTTCAGGCGTTCTTTTTCTATTTGAGACGGCTCTCTATGATAAAGCCTCTCTTGCCAGAAGTCCATTTGGAAACCGTGGTACTCACTTTTATCATGACCCGCCTCGACTACATTTTATGATGAGTCAGGCTGAAACTGCTCGGCTCCAACTTGTTCAAAACACTTACCAGGGAGGGGTCACATTACCCCAGTGCTAGATTCTCTGCACTGGCTCCCGGTGTACTTTCGGGCAAGATTCAAGATCCTCCTCTATGTGTTCAGGGCACTGCAGAGCGCTGCTCCACCATATCTAGCAGCATTGTTGCACAGGCATTTCCCCTCTCAGGCCCTTCGCTCTGCTGGGCATGAGTAGCTGGAAGTCCCGCTCTCTAAACTGAGATCAAGGGGGGACCAGGCCTTCTCGGTAAGAGCACCAGCCATTTGGAATGAGCTCCATCTAAAGCCGGTCGTACACTGTGCGACTTTTTCACTCGTGGCACTCAGCTTCAGCTCAAACTGTACGACTTGCTCGCAGGGCAGATCTCACGAGTCATGCACTCACACTGCACGACCCAGTTCTCGGATAGGACCTGACTGCTCACACTGTACGTCTGGTAGCAACACGTCGGCCCTAAAAATATGTTAAAAATAGCAGTTTTTACTCAACACGTCAGACTTTTTTGTCTTGTCTTGCCTGCTGTCCTTCGGGAGTGCTGCAGGAGGACACACAGGGATTTATGGGGGTTGGATGAGGAAAACGAAATAAAGAAAATAAATCTGTGTTTTGTGATCAGTTTAATTTGACATGAACACGACAAACACGCTTTCTTGACAATCTTTGTGAGTTAAAAAAACGTGTAGAAATAAAAACGAACAGCGCGTGTTATTAGGGAAATAGCGTGCGAGCGGTGTTGATGCAGGATTGCGCATGCGCCGTGAGCGGTTCTGATACTTTTTGGGTCGCTGCTGCTCGCAGCACCGCTTCAACAGTGCGACATCCTCACGAGGGAATATTAAACACGCCAGAAGTCCATGCGAGCTCACGATTGCTGATCGGTAGCTGGTCACGTGGTGTTAATCGCCTCTCGTAACCCCCTGTACACTACACGACGCTTGGCGCGAAACTCGCCCCGACCTCGTGGATTCTCGCACGAGTGGAAAATCGGCTCAAAAAAGTGAAAAAGTCGCACAGTGTACGCCCGGCTTAACAGTAAAGCAAGCTCCATCTCTCCAGGTGTTTTGCTTGAAAACTAATTTTTTCTTATGGTAAATGGCCTGTATTTGATATAGCGCCTTCTCGAGTCCTGGAACCCCCCAAGCCGCTTTACAACACAACCAGTCATTCACCCATTCACACGCTGGTGGTGATGAGCTACGATGTAGCCACAGCTGCTCTGGGGCGCACTGACAGAGGCGAGGCTGCCGAGCACAGGCGCCACCGGTCCCTCCGACCACCACCAGCAGGCAACGTGGGTTAAGTGTCTTGCCCAAGGACACAACGACATCGACAAACTGAGCGGGGCTCGAACCTGCAACCTTCCGATTACGGGGCGAGCGCTTAACTCCTGTGCCACCTCCGCCACACTAAGCTGTCTCCCAACGCCACTGACATTGGCTTTTGTATTTTACCTGCTTTGTAAATAGTTTATATCAGTGTTTTTCTTTTTGTTGCTTTTATGCTATTTCTCTCTCTCTCTTTTTTTTTACTAATGTGATGTCTTTCTGATTGATTGAAATCTGATTGAAATAAGAGCAATACTGCTACTTTTAAATATATTCATAATATGAACTTTTAATCACTGCACTTCCTAAATAAGTGAAAGTGAAACTTAAAGGACAACTTGGATGTGTTTCCAACTATTTCAATGCTTTCCTGAAAATTATTAGATCGGGACTCTGTATTAGCCGATACTCAAATCAAATGGATCGGATCGGGATCAAAAAGACGTGATCAGACCATCCCCAGAATTCATTCCTATTAGAGACCATTGCAAATGTGTTGATTACACAAATTAACCACACCTTCAAATTAATATGGTGAAATATATAGTTTTTTGTTCCTTTTTTCCTCATTTCTCCATTGCTGTTTGTATGGATATGTATTTCAGTCCTCTGTAGGAATCAGACTGAATATCTGGTGGGTCATCTTGTGAATGTATAAACATTAAAAAGCAGAGTCATTTGGCATGTTTTCCAAACCGTAATGAAGTGTTAGCATACTTTCTACATTAGTCAGTGTTGTAACTCATTAATTTGGTGTGCAGGAGGATCAGTTTGGAATGTACGCCCTATATAGCAAGAACAAACCTCAGTCAGATGTTCTGCTCAGTAGCCATGGTAACAAATTCTTTAAGGTATTTTTGGAAACTACTCTGGTTACATTAGTCTCATAGTAACCAGGGTCAAGATATTAGATGAAAACATGAGAAAAATGAAAGAAATAGAATTATTAAACAATATTCACTGTGTTTTTGTCTTTCAAGAATAAGCAGATGGAACTCGGAGACAAGATGGACTTGGCATCCTATTTGTTGAAGCCCATTCAAAGGATGAGTAAATATGCGCTGCTACTCAAAGATTTGATAAAGGAATGCCGTCATTTCCAGGAGCAGGAGCTGAGGGACCTCCAAACTGCAGAAGAGATGGTCAAGTTTCAGCTTCGTCATGGCAACGACCTGTTGGCTATGGACGCTATTCAGAGCTGTGACGTAATTAAAACAACACAAGAGTCTTAATGTAATGCTTAGTGTGACAGTGAGGGAGCACGGAGTTCACTAGAATTATTTTTAAAATTGAAGTCATCTTGTGTTTACAGTAGAGTGAGGTGAGAAATTAGTCTGTTTGTTCTGACACATGTGGGTGGCCATGGTTCCTCTCCAGGTGAACCTGAAAGAGCAAGGTCAGCTCCACTGTCAGGATGAGTTTATCGTTTGGTGTGGACGCAGGAAATACCTCCGCCACATCTTCTTGTTTGAAGACCTCATCCTCTTCAGCAAGACCAAGAAGACAGAGGGAGGATATGACATTTACATATACAAACAGTCCTTTAAAGTAAGTATTCCTGCTTTATTTATCATTATTTATTTATTATTTCTCATAAGGAAGCAGTAGCTCAGGAGGTGGAGCGGGTTGTCCAGTAATTGGAAGGTTGTAGATTTGATCCCGGCTCTCTCCCGAGAATTCGGCTGTTGTGTCCTTGGGCAAGACACTTAACCCACATTGCCTGCTGCTGTTGGTCGGAGTGACCGGTGGTGCCTGTGTCAGTGCTCCCCAGGGCAGCTGTGGCTGCATTGTAGCTCATCATCACCAGCGTGTGAAAACGTGTGTGAACGGGTGGGTGATTTAAGTTAAGCTTGTCTGTTTATTCTGCACAGACAGCAGACATTGGTATGACAGAAAATGTTGGCGACAGTGGCCTTCGTTTTGAGATCTGGTTCCGCAGGAGAAAGCACCAGGACACCTTTATACTACAAGCTAGCTCTGCAGATGCCAAGGCTGTGTGGACGGCTATTATTGGAAAGATTCTGTGGAGGCAAGCCCTCATAAAAAGAGGTAGGTCAATGTGTCAGATGATGGAGTCACATGAAAAAGCAGAGTTCTGGGAATCTGTTGCTGACAGGTGAAATGGAAGCCACTGGGGCAGAGAGCAGAAAGTAAACAACTGATATAAGACCTGCAGGGGGTTGTTAATTGCATCCATAGCCTCAGCTCTTTTAGCTATTTTAGAAAGATCATGCACAGCTAATGGATGCACATTTAGAGGGTGTTCTTCAGCTCGGCTCAACACGTCAGTTTTGTTTCTGTTTGACAGTTGTTGAATTTCACAGCAGGTCACGGTTTACAGTCTGATGCTAAACTGTAAGCTTCAGGAGAAGATGGTACCTTGTCTGCTGGGAATCTTTGGGTTCTTTGTTGTTTATTTCCTAAGTAGTACAAATGCTTTATAATAACGTAATTTCATTCTTTGTATATCCAGAGCTGCAAATGCAGGAAATGGTTTCCATGGGGATGGGAAGCACACCTTTCATGGACATCAAACCCACTGAGACAGCTATTAGTGACAGAGCCATTGACTACATCATGAAAGGAACAGGTGCACAGTTCTTCTTTGTTACTCTCTAAATAGTTTTATTTTCAGTAGCGATGGGAACTTTTTCTTAGCTCACAGAATAGGAACCAGCTCTTTCGGCTCCGAAACAACTCCTCACATTTTTTGTTTCTTAAATTCATTTATTATCAATAAATATACAAAACTGTGCCTAACTTGAATTACTAATATACATTACATCAAATGTTTATTATTTAAATAACTTGATTTATTCAACATGAAGCAGAGTGCTACAAAACACATTTTAAATGACAAAAACAAGCTCTGTAGGTTGAATAATTATTAACACTGCCTGTTGGATACAATATTTTCTCTTTGCAAATTTCAACCTCTGCTTTTAAAGAGACAGTGTGTATTTTTTCCTGGCGATAGGGGGCATTAGATACATAAATCGTTGCAAGCAAGCTGTATTTATATGTTGGAGTAAGTCCTTACCAACGGAGTCCCCCGTAGGGTCAAAAAGCCCCGGGGAGTGCAAACTTCAGCAAACTGACAAGCACATCAGACTCCCTTTCATCACTGGCAACGAGTGAAGAGGTGAATGTGTAAAACAACGTTTATGAATGCTGAAATTTTGGGACTACTTTTTACAAATCATTAAATGCATTTTGTCCTCAAAGGTTCCCATAGAAGGAAACATGGCGTCTAATATGGCGTTGCCCAGAAACTTAGGCTACGTTCACACTGCAGGCAAAAGCACATTAAATCCGCTTTTTCCCCACATGCGAGCCATATCTGATTTTTTATAACGTCTGTTTCAAGGTTAGGAATTAAAATACAACAAATAATGTGAACGAGAGGTGGAGGTGCAGCTGGAGTGAAGCGTCTCACCGGTCTCTGTCTCCATGAAGGGACGGGGGTCTCCGTGAGAGGGGGATTCTCCATGAATGAATTATTACCAGAACATTTTCGGTGAATAACAATTCAGGGAGACGGTGGGAGCAAGGAGCAAAATAGTTTACAGTTTTTAAAACAGTTTCCAGCCCAAATGGAACAGGTGTGAAATGTTTCACTGACAATTTAACCACAGGATCAGGATTACATCACAACTCCGCCGCTCCTGGTTTCGGCTCCACTGAGTGTGACTTCTTGTCTTCTGCGCATGCGGATCGCTTTGGTGCCACGCAGCGTTCACACTGGAGAGTTTGATGTCGCATTTCAGTCATAGTGTGAACGGCCACGTATGTTACTGTAGTGTCCAGAAGTGGTCAATTTTTCATGTACAGTTTGACCTCTTCAGTATCTGGTCATATGGAGACAGGAGTCTACATTTGTTGCCTTTAATCTGCCGGATCCTGCCATTCCATCAGCTGGAGTCCGGGCCTCTCTGCAGCTCGGAACACATGATAACATATTGTCACAAACTGTTTCCGTTTCAAGGCCTAAGCTTCCCCTTCTCGCTCCTACCGGACTCCTCCTGCCTCTGAATAAAAGTGAACATTTTCAGCTCATGAGTTAATTAATCATGAAATGAAATGAACAATATGGTTAAATAAAATGTTTTCATTAATCTGTGCCTAAGTTAATGAGGTTGAAATGAATTTTAATATTACAATGATCAGTAATGTTTGGTTTAACAAGTGAATCATTAATGTTCATAAGATAAAGTTAAAGTAATTTTGTGCACATAGATATTTTCTTATCCACAAATCAGAGCACCTTCTGTCTGAAAGAAGGCGTGATGTTCTGAGGTTTGTTTGTTAACACCTCTTAACATGGCACGTTCCGATTGGCCAAGTAAATCATAATATGAGAATATTAAAACAGGATCACTTGTGGAGGGATTCAGCATTCTGTTAGTTTGAGCAGAACTCCGGAATGGCCACCGGGGGAAAACTCCAACCACCGCACCTCTTGACAAGCTGTTAACGCTGCTACAAGCTACAGCTGACACAGCAAAACGGTTCCTTCAGCTATTCAGAAACAACTGTTCTAGACGCAAACGATTTCATCTATCTGTTGTGACTCGGGAGACATCCTAGGACTGACTTGGTTGCATTGAGGTTTTCCTACGAGCCACGTGCATGTGGGGTCACCGACTCCTTGACATCTCGGATCCAAACGGGGTCTCCAGGAACGGGTACGTAGGCATGACATAAATTGCGTCTGATGCCGTTTTGATATGAACCAACGTCATAGTTTAATGCAGACCAAATTCTTTTCACACCCAGAACTCAGCTTCTTCTAGACACAAGGTTCTGATAAAAACACACCATTCAATCACCATACATCACATTCCCTCCACTTAGGTTCATCCATCACAGTCGTCTTATTTAACTTGTCTCGTTTATTTCGTACCTTTTATAAACCTGACTGCCTGAATTGATACGAAGTGTGTTATGGTCACTAAAGAAGTAAAGAATCCTAGAATATTTTGATTAAACATTCAAAGACTAATAAGGTTGATATTCTATATTTATATAGAATATCACAGCTTATTGGTCATAAGTAGAGGTAATATATTAAGCTTAAAAGCAACTATATTAACCCCCAATTTCTTACACTATGAAGCCGCCAATATTTTTTAACAACTGGGCATCATTTAATACATTTTGGTGGATATTTACAGAGATTAACAGTAAAAAATACATATTGTCACTTTAATTGTCACTGTACTTAAAATGTGTCCAAATCTTGGTGCCTGTCCTGTTTTGACTAATTATCTCACCTTTCTGTAGCACTGTTTGTTTTTCTTTTGTCTTCTTTCAGTCCCCACCAATACTTACCATCCTATAAGGTTAACGTTATACAGTGGTGTGAAAAACTATCTGCCTCCTTCCTGATTTCTTATTCTTTTGCATGTTTGTCACACAAAATGTTTCAGATCATCAAACACATGTAACCGTTACTCAAAGATAACACAAGTAAACACAAAATGCACTTTTGAAATGATGGTTTTTATTATTTAGGGAGAGAACTAAATCCAAACCTACATTGCCCTGTGTGAAAAAGTAATTGCCCCTGAACCTAATAACTGGTTGGGCCTCCCTTAGCAGCAATAACTGCAATCAAGCGTTTGCGATAACTTGCTACGAGTCTTTTACGGCGCTCTGGAGGAATTTTGGCCCACTCATCTTTGCAGAATTGTTGTAATTCAGCTTTGTTTGAGGGTTTTCTAGCATGAACCGCCTTTTTAAGGTCATGCCATAGCATCTCAACAGGATTCAGGTCAGGACTTTGACTAGGCCACTCCAAAGTCTTCATTTTGTTGTTCTTCAGCCATTCAGAGGTGGATTTGCTGGTGTGTTTTGGGTCATTGTCCTGCTGCAGCATCCAAGATGGCTTCAGCTTTAGTTGACCAACAGATGGCCGGACGTTCTCCTTCAGGATGTTTTGGTAGACAGTAGAATTCATGGTTCCATTTATCACAGCAAGCCTTCCAGTTCCTGAATCAGCAAAACAACCCCAGACCATCACACTACCACCACCATATTTTACTGTTGTATGATGCTCTTTGTCTGAAATGCTGTGTTACTTCTACGCCAGCTGTAACGGGACATTTGCCTTCCAAACAGTTAAACTTTTGTCTCATCAGTCCACAAGGTATTTCCCCAAAAGTCTTGGCAATCATTGAGATGTTTCTTAGCAAAACTGAGACGAGCCCTAATGTTCTTTTTGCTTAACAGTGGTTTGTGTCTTGGAAATCTGCCATGCAGGCCATTTTAGCCCAGTCTCTTTCTCATGGTGGAGTCGTGAACTTTGACCTTAAGTGAGACAAGTGAGGCCTGCAGCTCTTTAGAAGTTGTCCTGGGGTCTTTTGTGACCTCTCGGATGAGTTGTCTCTGCGCTCTTGGGGTAATTTTGGTCGGCTGCCCACTCCTGGGAAGGTTTACCACTGTTCCATGTTGTTGCCATTTGTGGATAATCAAATCAAAGATACTTTATTCATCCCAGAGGGAAATTAAAGTTTCAGTACACACAATTCAGAGATCAGACATACATGGGCAAGACACATGACAAGAATTGGTGACTGTGGTCATTCGCAACCCTGAGTCGCGCTACCTTAGTAGAGATAAGTTAACTTTAACTTTATAAGAGGGTAACATGAGGAATTGACTCGGGAGAAGGGAAAAAAGGGCACTTCATAGCTACTCTCCCACCAGGGAGGGCAGCTTTGCTCTGCAAAAAAACACCTCAAATAGATATGCAACAGACTTCAGACAACATAACATGAGACTCCTATAGGAAGGCAGGGGGGGCTGGGATCCTGTTTCCCCCAGCGAGAGCAGCCATCTACGGCGCTCAGCCACTGTAGCCACAGGTGGGAGGGAGATCTCAGGAGAAGCGTAGAGCACATTGACACATTGACTCCTGCAGGTTGATGACCTCGCCAGGCTGAAGTCCCCCAATCCGAAGGCGGGGGGGGGGGGGGGGGGGGGGGGGGGGGGTTCACAGCATCTGTCTGCATTCCTTCGTGGGGGTTTGTTGTTAGCATCTCGAGGCTGCTCTGGCGTCAGATTCGGATAACAAGACTTTGTTTGGGTCAGGCAGAGATAATTTTCCTCTCTGCCTTCAGTCTTTAAACTGATCATTCCAGTCCTTCAGTGAAGCCAGTTTGGGATTTTAAACTTGTCCATACCGTCTGATGACCCTCTCCGAGATGACCTCCATTTTGCACACTAATACTGGTATCGCAGCTAGAACATTGTCCAGCTTACGATTCACCTCGAGTAACGTCCCAGTCTGTGAGGTTTCCACATGGACGGTGCTTTCCGTGGGTGCGGGTCGCCCTCCAATCGCTCCCATCTTCCCAAATTTCCAGAAAACCAGATATCCTCTCACTCCAATCAGGAGAAATCCAGTGATCATCAGGCCAAATATCCACACGTCTTCGACGTTCTCAATGGACAGCTGGGAGAGGCATACGATCTTCCACTCCCTCCAGGAATCCAGCATATACCCCGCCGGGTGTGTCCCCTGTGGGCATGTGAGAGCCCCCTTCTCCATTGTCATTGTTGGAAAAATCTTATCAATCGCGTTGTATGACCAATTTATCAAATCTATGGTTTAAAATGGGGTTTCTCAGAAGAAATGCAGAGAAGCGCTCTGTGTGCAGACAGGACAAAGAGCCTTGGGAAAAAAAGATAAGGGAGCAAAAAGAGAAGCGTCTGTACTCTGCGAGGGCCAGGAAGAGAAGTGGTTCGCTGGAGTCCCAAAGCTTTAAAAATGCCTTTATAGCCTTTACCAGACTGATAGATCTCAATTACTTTTGTTCTCATTTGTTCTTGAATTACTTTGGATCTTGGCATGATGTCTAGCTTTTGAGGTGCTTTTGGTCTACGTCTCTGTGTCAGGCAGCTCATATTTAAGTGATGTCTTGATTGAAACAGGTGTGGCAGTAATCAGGCGTGGGTGTGGCTACGGAAGTTGAACTCAGTTGTGGAACACCACAGTTGGGTTATTTTTTAACAAGGGGGGCAATTACTTTTTCACACAGGGCAATGTAGGTTTGGATTTAGTTCTCTCCCTAAATAACAAAAACCGTCATTTCAAAAGTGCATTTTCTGTTTACTTGTGTTATCTTTGAGTAATGGTTAAATGTGTTTGATGATCTGAAACATTTTGTGTGACAAACATGCAAAAGAATAAGAAATCAGGAAGGGGGCAGATAGTTTTTCACACCACTGTAATTGCCCCATGCATTTTGTGCACTGCCACCCCTCTTCCTGCTTTCACAGCAATTGGAGGTGCTCTGCAACACACACCCTTCCTGTCTCATGGCAATCAGAGGCACACTGTGTGTGTGCATTGTAGCGGAATATAGTTGCTATATTCTTACACTTTATTAAGGTCCAGATATTAATCTTTGGACCGGGCACTTAGAATCAAAAGAGGTTGTTTTTACTACAGGGAATTTTATTCAAACACCTTGTATTGAGTTAGAGACAAGAAAAGAGAGAGAGAGATGGGACGTTTAAGAATATTTATTTTATAATTATTCGAAACAATTACCAGGACTAACTCTCTAATGATGGATGCAGATGAATGTGAGCTGAAGTGTTGGTGTGTGTGTGTCAGTTCAGAATCTCCATCTGACCGAGGCGAGTCTGAGGGCAAGATGTTGTTTTGTTTAACTAATGACGATGGATTTCAGGAGGAAGACATGAGACGCCATCTATGCCGATCTACGTACCGTACCGGACCTCTGTGTTAGATCCGGATGCCAGGTCCTCGTCCCTCCTTGCGCTGGAACTGGTGAAACAGCGTCGGCAGCACGACAAACCAGTCTGTGGATCGTCTCTCGGTACAACGGCAGATTTCAGCGTCACGTAGAGACCCCCCCCCCCCCCCTTTATTGGGTCATAGAGTTCAGCTTTTATTCTGAAGGAACCGTCGTCTTGTTGATAAAACGACAGAATTTTCCAGCTTGACAGTCCTCAGCTTAAAAGTAGAAAATACAGCTGGCCAGTCTGTACTTCACTTAGCGATGATGGACATCAGATGGATTTGAGAGCTGGTTGAACTCACGTTGGAACTACGTTGAAACTTGCGGTGGAACTGAATTAAAATGGCATTGTTCTGTTTTATTAAGCTTAGTTGTTTATGATTCTTAGCCAATCGGAGTGGACAGATTAACTAAACACCACAGAGCTCTGCCACACATCAAAAAGGAAGTTCTGATTGGATGAGGGAGCAATGTGTCATGTGTTTACCTTATGTGGATCAGGATGTCTAGCTTAGTTAGCCCAAAGTCCTGTTGTTCATTAAACACATAAATCATAACATTGTGATTTCACAGATCGGTCACCTGATTATTATTGACCAACAGTTGTTTTGATTAGCTTTATTAAAAATAAAGTTCTTTGATTAACTAATGAAAAGCATTCTTCGTCCTTCTGTCTTCTTTGCTGGAATGTAAACATCAGAAGCAAGCGCACGACCTTGGCAATTTTATGCACACTGTCACTGTGTCAAAGGGCAGCTGTTAAGGGCAGAAATGGCATATTCATAACGCTACAGCATGCATGTGCCATGTACGCACATTTGGCCATCTTCATTTTGGCAGATACCCGGCTAGGTGTGGACAGGGCCTAAGACAGTTTAATCTGTGGCTATTTATTTTTACCTTCTTTCCCTTTGCAGAATCTCCTACGATGGCGTCCATTGCTGTGTCATCCTTTGATCACTGCACTGCGTTCAAGAGGCCCCACTCCACCATCTCCACCAGTAGCACATCCTACTCCAGCAGCCAGCCATCCTCCTCTCTCCTGGGCTTGCTCAATCTGCACCTGTACTCCTCACCCTCCTCACCCTCCCACCAGTACACAGACCCATTCCTGATGTGCAGAACTGAGTCCTTCATCCAGCGGCCTTACGACTGCATTGAGGAAGATGAGCTGGAGCAGGACACCACCTGCAGCCAGTCCTCTATAAGTCAGTGCATTCTTTATCGGAAATATAAAACATTTATTTTTTTTAATTCAGATTGTCTTTCTTGGCACAGCCACTGGGAGGCGCTAAACAACTTGATACATGACAGTGATGACCTTTAACCTTTCCTGTTATTTATTTTTTCTCTGTTTTTGTTTCAGTGACTGGGAATTCAGAGACCTCCCAGTTTAGCTCCAGTGAGAGCGTATCAGGCTGGAGTGTTCTCACCATTCCTGACCAAACTGGCATTATCATGGACTCTTACAACCACGAGTCCTCCTCCTGCTCCTCCACACCTCCTTCCTGTGTCTCCTCTTCAGGAGGAGCTCTAATCACAGGGCACACTGTCATGTAATAAACACAACATTGGATTTGATGGTTTTATTAGTGATACATTTAATTTAATCTTTTGCTTTTCTGAGATCTTTCCTCTATAATCTTTAAAATGTAATCACGGGATTCTGTTTGTTGTTGGATCTATGTTCTTTTTCTGCGTATTGTTGTTAGGTGTGGTTAAACCATAAAACATGTCTTTGTTAAAACACCAGTCTAACAGCTCCTCCCAACATTGTTTTTTTTTCCTGTCAACGCAACTTCCATCATTTGAGCTGCATTAGAAGTACTATTTACTAGCTACAACTATAAAAATTAATGTATGTTAGTTATTTTGACGTATTACTGTTTTAAATGCT